ATAGTCAGGGGAAAAAGACCAGAAAAGCTTTAGAAAAGATATGCACCAAGGTGTCTAACGGTCACTGGAGACCTAAGATACATGTAACATTTGGGCTTACTGAAATAAAATGAGGATGGAACATTATATATTGGCATTTCTTAAAACAGTTGACATTATTTTCTCATTTTATGCTTGCCAAGGCACACATATGGTGGTTGTAGTTTATTCTACAGGACTCAAGTGAGAAGTATTGCAATGCTTACAGCACCTCAAGAAACTACAATCCTCTCATCTTCCCCAAGTATTTGTCTTGAGGAAGTCTGTCTTGAGTGCAGTCAGACTCGAGCCAACCATACAATGACATACAGCTCTTCCACTGACTATGTGAAAAACTTGGGAAACAGAATTACCTCACAGAGCTTGTTTGAAGACCAAGGAATATGATCAAAGAATGGATCAAGAAATAGGATCAAAGAATCCATTGTTTCACAAATAGTATTTGAATTCAAAAGTTTTCCAGAAATAGATGGATTATGATACATATATTCAAATGACCTAAGAAAAAAACGTTTTCATTTACCTTGAAGTAGATTGGAGCCATATCTCCTACTTCTTTTGGAAGAGGAATGCATTCATACACCATATGATACCGTTTCTTCAGGCTCAGGTTTGTTTCTAGGAATACACAGTCCAAGTCTTTAGCTTCAAACATCTTCACCAATGCATTTCGGAACATCTGTTTAAAGAAAAAAAGAAAAGTATAATTTGAATTAACTTTTCAAAGCTTTCAGATATAGTATTTTATTTAATATTATAGACTCATAGACTGGTTTGAGTTGGGAGTGACCTTAAAGATCATCTAGATCTAACCTTCCTGCCATGATTGCTCCAAGCCCTATCCAGCCTGGCCTTGAACACTGCCAGGGACAGGGCAGCCACAACTTCTCCGGGAAACCTCACAGTAAAGAATTTTTTAATATCTAAATATATCCTCTCCTAATTTAAAGCCATTCCCCCTTGTCCTATCATTACATGCCTTTGTAAAAGCTCCCCTTAGGTACTGGAAGGCTGCTCTAAGATCACCCTGAAGCCTTCTCTACTCCAGGCTGAATAACCCTAGCTGCCTCCATAGCAGAGAGGTCATTTAAGCTCTCCAAAGCCCCTGTGCCCTGAATTCTTCCTCACAAATAAGGTGGTCCGTGCTGTGACAAGAAAACACTACCACCATCCCCCTAACGCAACTGATGACACACAGCTCTAAGGTACTGCCCAGTGAATAGACCACTGTACCACAACCAATATAGGACTGTGCAGAGTGACAGGCAATTCTGAATTAATAAGCTTGTGGTCTTCTCCCCCTCACACGTGGCCCCCAGACCTCTACTTCTGAAATACACCAAAGCAAACAACTGTGGTGAGATAAGAGAAACATTAAACCAAAGGTTGGGAAAGACAGTTGCTACCTTGCAATATCAACTGAAATTCAAAGCCACTGAAAAGCCTAGAATATCTGCAGATGTTAGCTACCATTTCCCAGACTGCATTTTCTTGTTTCGAAATAAATGGCACTTTTCCTCCAAATTCTAAGTGGGCCAAAATATCAAGGACAATTAGCACTGGAAAGGACAAAACCATTCATAGGAGCAAATAAGAGGGTTTGGATTATGCTCAGATGCACACATTGATACATGTAACAGTTCAGTCAATACAGAACATGTAAAGATTTATCTTTTCATATTAAAAAAAGTTACATGCATATTTACTTTGGCAAGTGAGCACATCAGTCCAAACCACACAAATGTTAAATTCAAGCACTTGAAGGCACACAGCATAAAGGAACTCTTCTTGCTTTATTCCAACATATCTTCAAAAAAATCCCAGCAAAAATAGTTAGCTAAAACATCTGCTCAATACAACATTTTATATTTGAAGTGTGATAATTTTTTCCCCTCAACAGCAATATCAAATAGGGCTCTGGCATCAGAACGTTGGTTTAGTCATGGAATAACTGTATGCTTATAGTCCTTCTGTATGCTAAAGCCTTCCAGACTCCCCCTACTGAATTACATATAAGCTGAAAAGAAAATAAAATTTGTGTCCATCAGCTTCCAAATTATTTTGTTGCAAAGAAATGTTTCAACTGTCTATGAACATGTTCACAGTGTCAATGGATACTGGTTTTACCAACTAGCTGCATTTTCTAGCAAGGAAAATACTAGCATTGAATACAGGAACTGCATTTGCTTATCTTATGCTATTTTCCTTCTCATACAGATATAGAAAGATTATCATTTATTTAATTAAAAGAGGTTGGGATAAATAGAAGATATAGAATAAACATATTTATCACTTTTTCCTGTGCTCTGTTCTTCCTCCCGATCCCACTTGTTGAACTGATTTGCTTCTTATCCAACTTTCTTAGGCATTTCTATAATATACAAAAGAACTCCTTTCCCCTACTGCTTGGGAGAAGCATAATTTACTAGGAAACACTGTATAAAAATTTCATCTGCCATGAGAATCAATGTAGGGAACAAATCTGGAAAGTCAGAGAATCCATCTGCCAGGCTTGAGGCAAGACCAACGTTATTTAAACCATTTCAAACTCATGAATTAACCTGTTTTTTAATCTAAGCAACTGCAACCGACAACATCTTTCTGTAGTCTGAAACAGTCTCCAGTATTTTGATATAAGAGGTTGCAAGTTGTTTTCCCGTTGAATAATTCTGATTGGGGGCAAAGAGGATTGACAATCACAGTCAATCTCCTAGGCAGAAGTTTGTTACATTCCTCCCAATTTTCCTTTTCAGAAGAAAACAGAACTCAGTAACTTCCAACTGCCTCCATAAAAGAATTGGAAAGCATGACCCAACATTCTTGGCATTTTATTCTAACAATTCATTTCAAAAAAGTTAGGACATTGGATCTCACTGATTTGAAGAAGAATGAGAGAGTTTTTTCTCAATTGACATCCAGCCAAACCCAAGATCAGCTTAAAAAACCTGAAGCTACATAAACAACAGACCTCCAGCTTGTGTTTCATTATAAGTGATCTTTCTGTCCTGACAATCCTTTTCTTTTCCCAAGGAAATCTTAACTGTGAAGCCAGTTATTCACTTTCTGCATGGGAATAGCTCTATCTACATCATCCCTGATAGATACTCCTCTAACCTGGTTTCAGAGGCCTCCAACGACAGAGGTTCTGCAGCATTCCAGGCAACTTTTTATAGTGTTTATAAATGGGAACTTCTGTGTTTACCCTGTATCTTCCCTTTTCAGTATTTGACCATCCATTATGCAAGTACGTTCTGCCCCTCAGTGGAATTCAAGAAGAGCTGCCAGGCTGGAAATTATGAAAATAGACGCTTATGACAGGTGTATTACTATTTAAAATAACATTATTTTACAAAACTGTTAGCACATGAGACAGTTTCTGAGCTGACCTGGATTTCTTCCCAGATGTCTTCATCCAAAAGAGTGGCTGCAGTATGGTGCTGTAGAGGGGCTATCAGGCAGTGACCTTCAGTAAGGGACTGGTTGCTTGGTAGAGACAAGTATACCTATGAAAAGTGAACAGAAACTGAAGTGCCCATTTCTCTAGTGTAAAAACCTTCTCATTGCTGAGGCACATCATTTGCTAAATTCAAACTAGTAGAAGTTATTACCTTCTAATTATAACAAGGTATTAGTAATTCCAGTGTTTTTAAAAAGATCCCATTATCCATCAGTAACTCCAGTGAACTAGTAGTATCCAGAGGCAATACCAACAAGCCAGTAATATCAGCCTTGCAGACCAACTGGTATCCTAGCTGTTACAAAATCATATTGTTTAATCCACTACAATAATTGTTGAATTTAGACATACATCCGATGCATTTTTAATGAAAGATATACACACAGATATAGCTCTGTGTCGTGGCTTAACCTAGCAGGCAGCTGAATGCCACACAGCTACCATTTACTCACTCTCCCCACAACAGAGGAATAGGGGATAGAACCTAAAAAAAAGTAAAATTTGTGGGATGAAATAAAGACAGTTTGAAGGGACAGAAAAGAAAGGGAATATAAATTAATGACGATGATAATAATAGTATTAGAACATACAAAACAAGTGAAACACAACGCAACCGATCCCCACCTGCTGACCGATGCCCAGCCAGCTCCTGAGCAGTGGCCTTTGGCCAGTTCTCCCCCCCGATTTTATACTGAGCATGATGTCACGAGATATGGGATAACCCTTTGGGCACTTGAGGTCAGCTGTCCTGGCTGTGCTCCCTCCCAGCTTCTTCTGCCCCTCCAGCCTGCTCACTGGCAGGACAGTGTGAGAAGCTGAAGTGTCCCTGATCACTGCTTAGCAACAATGAACACATTGGTGCATTATCAACATAATTCTCATCCTAAATCCAAACCACAGCACTGAACCAGCTACTAAGAAGAAAATTAACTCTATCCCAGCCGAAACAAGGACACTCTGTGTGTGTATATACATATGTATCTGTATATATATATTAGACATATAAACACATATATATACACAGATTAGTGGTAGAATTGGCAGTCCTGGGATAAAGGTTGGACTTGATGATTTTAAAGGTCTTTTCCAACCTAGTTGATTCAATGATTATACATATACACATATATAGAGACAGCTATACATCTATATGCATTATACATACCATCTATCTATATAAAAATAAAAATGCAGAGCATTATAATATGTATCTATGCATTCAGTTTCCTGGCCTATAAAAAGTTAACTGAAAAACATCAATGATAAAGGAAAACATTGGAGAAACAGAGACAAAAAACCCTACATTGAAGCATTCCACTGAAGATGTTATAAACCCAAATATTTATGCAACTTTTAAAAGCATTCACAGAAACAGGAAGGTTCCCCAAAGCAACCTTCTATTTCAGTGGATTTTAGGCTTCAAAATTGAATTCTCCAATTAATTTTCTTTGATATCATTAAGATACAGTTCTTTGCCAGTTCAAATTTCCTCCAGTGCAGTGTGATTTAGTCTTCCACAAATCCACCTACAGTTTAATCTCTGCACTCAGATCTTTCATTATTGCTCCTGTCTTTCACAAATCCACAAGTGTGAAGTTCTGATATCAAAGATTACCTTTAAAATTCATGGCAGATTTATATCTTTTTCTCCCTCACCCTTGAGGAATTTGTGAAATCAACTGGAAGGGCAAGGAAAATAAGATAAAGAAACATATCATTTAATTCTTAATCTTAGGCACTCTAGCACCAACACTGCCTTCCTTTATTTCTTTTTCATTTTTACATTTGTGCTAAATTGCTATTTTCTTACCTTTGTGCCAATTGCAATAATAAGATGTTTAGAAAGTTCACTGCTATCATAGCAGTATGGGCACTTTTCCATGCGTGCAGCAAGCTGCTGGTGCTCATGTATTGCTTTTCTTCTTTGTATTTCTTCCTCTTCCCCACTGCGCACTCTTTTGGCTGCTTTGGAAACAAACATGTCATCCAGTGTGTAGTATTCCCTGTCAGTTTTTTCCATGAGCTGAAAAGAGACATAGAAAAATTACGTGTATATGTAAATAAGCAAGAAAAAAATACTTAGCTCTTTGCAGTATCCTTTACTGAGACAAGCATAAAGTACGTGAACAGTAGGATTCCTTTCTTCCACGACATCTGTAGCACATGCAGTCATCAGGTACCTCTCCTGAGAGCAGTCAGACACAATCTCAGACAGCATACGTATTAAAATATAGATGTCTGACAGCACTGAGAAGAGTAATTACTATGTTCCATATCAAGATAAGGGCTAGGCATTTCAATATTATCTTGACATAACTTCAGCTTTAAACAGGTGCACCATTTTTTAAATCATAGATTATCATATATTTCATTTCAGTCTTCCCCCTCCTCCCCTATTATAACTAACACTATCCATTAAATCATCTCTTGTGAAATAACCAGACCCTGACTCTGCACCTCATTCATATTCTGTGAAAACATGCCAACAGCTAGTCTTACAAAGTCAACAATGCTAAGCCATTTTGTGAAGAAAACACTCTTTGTCTTCAGTATTTAGTCTTTCTTGAATGCACCTGTTGTAACATATGGGTAATGAACACAACTAGCACATTACCAGACACAAGGCTGAATGATTCAAAGGTTTTCTGTTAATTGCTACATTTTAATTAAATGTGCCACATTTAAACTATAAAAAACCCCAAATTTGTTATGAAGACATGCTTGAGGGTCAGTGGTATCTTACAGGATCTTAATAGTGGAAACCCACACAAACTGCATATGTCTCACCTGGACAATATTTCACTGGGATGAAGTCTATAGATAGAAACTGGAGGAACTCAAGGTGACGCAATATGACAGAAGACATGGTAAGAAGGCTGACAGCAATAGCAACAACAGATATTGAATAGAAAGCAAGAAAAGTATGGGGGTCACGGGACTCATGCAAATGACAGCAGATTTCACTAAGCTTCATTAACTCACAGAAAACATGTATATGTATCGCACATTAGGCTTTATCAATCTTTTCTTTTAGTTTTATAAGAAACAAACCCCATGACATCTTGTCTAAATCAAGACTTAGCAAGTTATGGTTGTAAAGATCAACTGTTTTAAGGACTTAAGAAAGAATTTCTTCATTTTCTGCTTTGGTTGCTCTATATGACTTTAAAATTATGTGTCACTAATACCCTGAACATTCAACACATATAGCTAAAGCAAATGCAGAAAGCATTCAAAAGAATTTTTTCAGGTTTTTATCTTGAAATGAAATCCCAGTGCTGCAATACTTTTATAATATATTTGACTGTAATTTACCTTAAATAGTTTCAGTAATCTCCTTACCAAAATGACGGGGGCTGGGGAAGAACTAGCAGGCTATACAGATTTTAGAGGTATTGGTCCTTTAGAGTCTTGGCAGATTTAGGTATGAATAGTTTTGCTCTAAGAACTGTGAAAAAAATGGCAGAGGTGCCTTCACAGCAAATCCTAATATATTTTAGAATACTGACTGATGTTAGCCCTAGCAAAGGACTGATGTTAGCTGAAGGCATTTGGAAAGCATACTAGGATAACTGAAGCACAGCCTCTAAGTAAAACAAAATCTTCCACGTATCTCAGGCATCATTTGTGTAGATAATCTTTTTTTTAAAAAAAAAAAAAAAAAAAAAATATTTTATTTTGTAGGACAGATAAGTAACTTCCTCTCCCAAAACCCACAAACAGCTCTTGCTTTTCCTGAACACAGCAATTTTCTAACACAGACCAATAGCTTATTTTGAATATCCTCGGTAGTTTCATTAACAAACAACTGAGGAGCAGCCTCCTTAATATTACTTTACGTAGTTTTAATACAAATAACTGCTTATACATTTCCTACTGGAAGCCACTGCAGACTAAAATCAACAGTTCAATAGTTCAACTCCATTCTTGTCTGTTTTATTGTGTCCTGGGTTCAGCTACAGCAG